CGACGCTCACTAGAAGATTGCCCTCTACCACCATGGGCAAGCTCAACCTGCATTATGGATAAATAAAAATAATTAGAGAACAGAAACTTTTGAAAAAGAAATATTACAAGAACAAGAATCGTATATTACCCTCAAACGACAACCATCAAAGTTATACCCATCTCTGCCCCTGATTGCATCCTCTGCATCCCGAGAATTCTCAAACTAAAACCAGAACAAACACAAGATAAACCAAAGGTCAATAATAGAATCTACCATATGGGCATCCAAGAGCTAGTCATGGTCAAAAGAATACCTCAACAAAACAATAACATGGAGGGCGCGGGGGAATTTTTAGTTCGACATCCACTATACGTCCATACTGCAAGAAAAATGATCATTAGATAGCATGGGAAAATTACGCCACTTTAAAAAAAGTCAACTCTTAGCGTTGTGCTGTTGTTGTAAGGTTGCAAAATTTGGTCACACCCTACTAAATATTAGTAAAAGTAACAGCCAAACAATGCTTAGAATAAGCTGTAAGAAATTCCAAACCAACCTTGTAGAATAAGTCTTCAATTTCCCACTCTCTTATATCTGAGGGCAGGTTTCCAACGTAGATTGTGCGAGAAAAGCGGCCACTCATCTCTGATACAAGAAAATTTCTGGTGCAAGTATCTCACTGCATTGAGAAAAGAGATCTCATAAGTGAAAGAGTCTAACAATTTCTAAACCATGTAACCCTATCTACTATTCTGCCAAGCTATCATCACATGTACTACGTTGATGATATCAAAAATAAAGCAAAACCAAAACTATGAAGCAAACCAAGAGAGCAATCCTCGAGGTGAGTCGTGCTCCACAAGCTCCATAGCTCATTTGCTCCAAGATGCTCCAAAGCAATAATAATATTGAAATAAATTTTGATCTCCTCATCCTCTCCAGAATTTTAGCAGATGTATAGATCTTCTTGAGAGTGAGCAAGAATCTCCAATAATAAAAAATAACAACCAAAACTCCACATTGAATCTCCCAATCCCTCTCTATATCCCTATGTATCAGTGCAATGCTCATATTTGTCCAAGCGCTTGTCATCTATCATAAAGAAACATTTGTGTCATGCGATGAGGTAAAATTGTACATATATTGATGCATTTTTACCTTACTCAGCTCTCTTTAACAGCATTGAAACACAAGCCTGGAAAATGTGTAAATATCCCGTAGGAACTCTAAGTAGACCAACCTTTCATAAAGTTATGTCCCGCGTAATGTCAGCAATATTTAGAGTTATTATCCCCTTAGTTGATAGATTTCAGATATACATATCTAAAAACTGATCACCTAAAGAATTATGCTAAAGATGAGGTAGGCAACCATGCCGTTGGGTTATGTTCAAGTTTTTTCGGTTATAATGGCAAATGTTGCTGTGGGCAACATGGGTGAAAAAAAATGATAGTTTCAACCATCATGGGCATAACTCAAAATAAGAATTAGAAACTAATCAAGTAGGAAAATGGTATGTCTCTGGAAATATATCCACTATGGTTAGGTTAGGCTGTTAAAGTAATTAATCCAAGTAATTATGCAGAGAGATAAATTTGAAGAACTAGCGGCGGTAAGCAATAAGGTAGATAAATCAACGATATGCGCTGCCTTCTACAAGCATATATATATATATATATATATATAAACATATATATAACACACTTCAAGATCAAAGAATCATATCAAGACTTGGGAGACGACAAATTAAACTAAAAATTAACGTCAAAAAAGACATTATACGTGAACAGATAAGACCGGCATTTTCTCTACACATGATCCACGACGCAAAAGCACGGGTTACTTTCGCCTATGTTCTCACAAAACACTCGCGAAATGTTTAGCAAAAGAATAAATTATAAACTCGAACACTCGAGAAAAATTCAACAAATTCAAGAAAATAGCATTGAAAATTGCGAAGAAAAAGAAAAAAAAGAGGCACATAATCCAAAACCCTAAGATGTATATATATTATATACAAACGAATCTAGAAAGAGAAGAAGATGTCACGAGCATCGCACCGAAGAATGGGAGGCTAGGGCAAAAGAGCTGCTACGGAGAAGAGAGAATTGGCGTGCGAACAGCGACTTGAGAGCTCGAGAGGTAGCTAGGGTTTGTGCCTTCGAACCGCTTTTCTGCTGCGCGAAGAAAGAGCGAGAGAAGTTGGGCTGTTTGCAGGGGATAATAGGAAGGGCAGTACGTGAGTGACAGCGCGGTGTGTTTAGAAAAGTTTCAAGTCGTTAATATATTGGGCTGCCAATTTGAGGCTCTCGTGGGCTTCGGAATAGGGAGTTCAGTATTCAGCATAAATTGGGTTCGTTTAGTTCTGATTCGAGTTTTTAATTCGAGTTAAGATGTGATTCGAGTTTTTAATTTGAATTAATATGTGATTTGAGTTTTTAATTTGATATGATGTTATGTGAAAGCTTTTTATTATAGTAAAAAAGTTAAATGTGACTGTTTCTGAGAACTTTTTACTGTAGTAAAACTCGAATTCTAAACTCGAATCAGCGAAGTGAATGGGGTGGGATTTTTTTTTTTTGTAGGGATATTAGACATATATTAAAACATTATAGATAAAATATTACTAGTCATCTTGAAATATAGTAAATAACTTCAAATAATTGAAAAATAGTAAAAATAAAAATCATTAAAACAATACCTACCTAAACTGTATGGAAAAGTTGATTTTTTTGTTTATATATAGCTATTTTAGTAGGAGAGAAGTATGAATGAAATAGCATATTTCATAGGATACTTGTATTTTATACATGTGATCTAAAGTTAAAGCTTTTTTCCCTGGTAAAAAAAAAAAAACAAAGTTTTTTAAGAATTGTGATAACAAATTGAAATTCGAAATTTAACGTGTGGGTATCTCAATCAATATTAAGTTGCTAGTATTAGTTATGATTTTTTTTTAATGTAAATTCCAGAATTTTTCATCATAATGCAACAATTATTAACAAGAGCGACATGTGGTTTTTGGAACAGAAGGATGTCGTTTCCAGTAAAATGGTAACTGAAAAACAAACAAATAGAACATAAAAGAAAAGCAAACAAATTGCAAGTTGCAACGACATCAACGTTGGGAAAGTATACGATCTTCCATTCTCTTAATTCTTGATTATCGGCGAAGCAATTGAGAAAGTAAAACGAGTACATGTTCATGTACATAAGATCATAAAATTTGAAGATCATTAGCTGTTCTGATTTAGGTTAGTTGTAAGATGATAGAAAGTCAAATTCTGACTCCGTTCATTTCGCCGATTTAAGTTTAAAATTCGAGTTTTGCTACAGTAAAAAGCTCTCAGAAACAATCGCATCTAACTTTTTTGCTACAGTAAAAAGCTCTCACATAAAGTCACATCTCAACTCGAATCAACAAATTGAACGGGCCATCTATGTCTTTTCGTGATAGTTAGAGGCCTTGAGGGACAATTTCGTGGAAGAGTAAGCAATTACTCGTTGCTTCTTCCACTCTGAAGGTAGAATTTGTTGCATGTCATGAAGCAAAAAGTAATACAATATGGTTGAGGATTTCAGGGTTGTTTAGTTAGGGGATTCGTACTCCGATTTGAATCATGGTTCATGGTTCGGTACAGTATTTTCTCTCACAAAAAAATACACGTAAATAAAAAATGATTATAATCTTATGATTTTAATCCATAAACCAAACGTCTCCTTCATGTTTCTTCTATCTATCATTAAAAAAAACAAAAAAACCGAATAAAATGATGTAGTAGAATGAATATGATTTAATTTTACCAGTTTAACCTATACAAGAAACATGATTTAGAGTTCCTAAATCCACTTTAAAAAGGCCCGTAACGAGGAACTCTCAACTGAAGAGAATACTTAAATTTTATATTTGATATCTTAACAATCAAATATATTGATTACAATAACTAACGTGGTTATTTATTGCTTACGCATTAAAACGATAACGAAAAAATAAACTGAGACAAACGACAACTAACAACAATACAAAATTGAATTAATAAACTATAAACTATAACAGTGACATAAACTATAAACAATGACATTGAAAATATAAAAATGGCTACTTGTTGAAGCTTCTTACAACACAAAATTCCTACATTGCAAACTTTGATATTTGTCCAATATTTTTTGCATTGAAAATGACATGATTTATTGATTTTATGTTTAAAAATAGTTTTACAATACATACATACACATACCTTTTAATAACAAGATGCTCGGATGCTCCAATAAAAATACAAAAATATAATTTAATAAAGTGCTAAATTAAAAAGTACAAAAATTGCAAAAGAAAGGAAATAAAATAAATCCATATTAATATTTGAGTAAATTGCACCATTGCATCATAAACTATTCATTTTTTAGCATGATAGACCTTAATTTGGGTAAATTGCACCATAAACTTTAATATTAGTAGTAATTGAAATCTAATAACTAATAGCATTATCAAATTGATAATTCGAGACTTTCACATGTGACATTGTTTAACAATGATTGCCATTGTCTTTTATGTGTAGATCTTGTATTTTAAACCTTCACTCTAATAACGTTTTGTTAGTTATTGGACTTCGATTGTTCAGAGTGTAATCTACTAAATTTAAAAATTTGAGGTCCATTACAAAAAAAAAAAAAAAAAAGAATAGTTAAAGGTGCAGCACTGTAATTTTCTCAAATATTTTTCTCACGAGTAATAATTAATGTAAAAGAAAAAATTGCAAAAAGAAAATAAATAAAAATAATAACAAACAAACAAACCATTTTCCGGTTATGCGAACACTCGAACTAGGGTTTAGTTTTACCACCATCATTCACCGACCCACCAATCACCATACTTTAAAACGCCAACGAAACCAGCGGTCATCTCGATTCGATCCTTCGATCTTCTCCACCTTCTTTTTTCTTTTTTTTTTTTCCTCGTCACAAAACTTTTTCCCTCCAATTCCCAAATCCCCAACGGCCACTTTGCAAAATCGATGGCATCGCGCTTCCAGGCCGCCACTCTCGTGGCCGCTCCGTCGCACCCCAACGCCGTCGCCTGGTCCGACGAGAACCTCATAGCCGTCGCCTCCGGCCACCTCGTCACCATACTTGTACCTTCAAATTCAGTTCTCTCTCATTTTCCTTTTTCTCCGTTTCACGATATTCACTTCTCCTCTTGTTCTACACTTTTGCTTGCCAGAATCCGGCGTCGCCTCTCGGACCGCGAGGCCTCATCACTCTCCAAACTGGTGAGCCTTTTCCGATCGGCGTTGTGGAAAGAGCAGGTACTTTTCTAGATCTGTGTTTGCGTTTTCAGAGTTTCAAGTATCAATTTTCGAGCTTTTTCTTATTCAATTTTCGTTTTAGATTTACTGTCGGCCAGTTTGCTCCCGACCTGTTTGTCTCGGGACACTCGGCCCTGTGTTCGATCAATTTCGTGGTCCCCACTTGGACTCGCTCCAAACTCAGGGTGAGAGTTTTTTTTTTTTTTTGTTAATTTTTTTTTTGGTAATTTTTCCTTTTTATTCACGTCATTAGATTATTTTCAGCTGTAATTCAATTTGGGCTTTTTGCAATCTTGATTGGCACAGGTGTTTACTGGCTGTTTGCACAACGGAAGGGCGCGTGAAGCTTTATCGTCAACCATTTTGCGATTTCTGTGCCGAATGGATTGAGGTAAGTTTGCATTATTCACAAAATCAAAGATCTTTTAAAGAGCCAAAACAGAAACAAATTAGTAAACTTTCACAATTTGCTTGTTAGTCTAATCTTCTTTTTTTGGCTTTTGTGTTAGATGATGGACATATCAACTAGGCTTTTTGAATATCTTGAAAGTGTCAGTTTTGGTGAGTTGGAAGTTTGCCCCTCCAAAGATTATGAACATGATGTAAGTTCTATCTTTTGTTTATTACCTTGGGCAGCATAATCTTCAATGATCTTATGCTTGACGGTCTTCGAAACTCTTCTCTTTTTAACAGGAGCAAGAAACAGAGAATAGATGTACCGACGATGTCTCTGATTTTGTCCCTAGAAAGGAACGTAAGAGAAGAAAAACGGATGTATCCTACAATGAGTAGTATTTGTATTTCTTCAATTAGATTTCAAATATTCATTTCCATTTTGTTGTTACTTAACTTGTTTTAGGTGCTTGAGACTGATATTGGCCAAGTGAAAAGAAACAGCTCAAAGCAGATTGTTTCTGCCTCTAAATCCAAGGCAAGTGCTCCCAAGAAGACACCAAAAAATTGCACACTCCCGCTTATAAGTGCAGATAGATATGCAGCTCATAGTGCGATGCTTTCGTCACTTGTAATTGCCTGGTCACCAGTGCTACAGTTGTCAGCTCAAGCTTCTTCTATTCCTCAGAATGGTTCATCCATATCTTTACTCGCTGTTGGTGGGAAGTCTGGTGAAGTCTCATTCTGGAGAGTTTCTGTACCAGAATGCTATTCTGTTGAGCTCAATCAAGCTCCAACAGATGCGATGATTTTGGGGCTCGTGCAGGCACATGCTTCATGGGTTACAGCAATTAGTTGGGTGTTGCTTGATCCCAAGTCTTCCAATCCTCGGGTTTTGTTGACAACAGGGAGTTCTGATGGGAGGTGAGTTAGGTGCATATCACTGTTAGAGCTTATTCTGGTATATGGAACTTTATGTGGTCAAGGATTTCATCTTTGATATTATATAAGTGAGATCATTTAAATAGTGCCAACAGGAGATCGAGATGTCTTCCGATTCTTTGTTCATCTGACTTGGATTGACCCGTTAACCTAACAATATTTGTAGCACCATATTTTTTGAGTCATGCCACTAATTCATCTGTTTGTATATATGGCTAATGCAATCGAAATTCAGGGGGTTGCTTGATTCTTTCTTGCAGTCATTTGGTGTCCGGAAAGTAATTTCTAATTGTTTTCTTATTGTTTAGATGGTAACAAAACAATTTATATAACCTAATAGCTGAAAAGATTAGTGCCATTTGACCTTTTTTTCCCCAAATCTGTTATTATCATTGTTATAATTCCTAATTGTTTAGCATTTCTTATAATTATTTTGTTTTTCCTTATCTTTTTTTAGTGTCAAGATCTGGCTGGCTTATAATGAGGAACTGCTGAAGTCAAAAGAAGTTAACCACACTTGCTTTTCCTTGTTGAAGGAGGTAATGTAGCTTTTACTATGTTTGAATATATCCATCTGCGTATCTTTTAGTTCTCAAATTTTAATGTGTGATCTTTTTAATAGGTTGTAACTATTGATATTGTCCCAGTTTCAGTAATTTCACTTACTGCCCCCGCTCAATCCCCAAACAAAATGCTCTTAGCAATTGGCAAAGGATCTGGATCTTTTGAAGTGTGGAATTGTGACATATCTGATCGCAAATTTGATAAATTTGGCTCATACAATGACCATGACCATGTTGTAAGTTTCATTTTGTTGATCCAAATATTTTGCTGAAACATTCAATTAATGTGCTTTAGTAATTACCAGATTACGGGTTTAGCTTGGGCTTTCGATGGACGTTCTTTGTACAGCTGCAGCCAGGTAGTTTATCTAGTCAAGTTGTATCAACTAGAAAATTCTTTTTTAATATATATGTACTTTCTTGATATTGGGTTCTTGGTTTCAACCTTTTGGTTTGTTCAGCATTAACTGATAACCATTTGTTTCAAATTTCAATAGGATAATTTTGTTCGGAATTGGATTTGGAGTGAGGATATGCTCTCTGAAGCACCAATTCCTTCAAATACTCCTCGTCTGAGAAGCTCAGCTGAAGTATGTTAGTACCCTTATATCTTTCCTTTTTCTTCTGAAGATGCCCTTATTAAGTTTATAATGTGAAAAATGTCTTTGCAGCTTCCAGATGCATGTGCGTCATGCTTTGGTCTTGCAGTCTCTCCTGGAAATGTTGTGATTGCTATGGTACGGTGTAATGATATTTCCCAAAAATTTCTGACAAGAAATCTGTGAGGCTACTTGGCAAATGCTTTTCTTTACTAATGTCAGCTACAAAGAAGTTTAGTGTCTCATTACCTGGATCTGCAGTTTCAGTTATAAGGAAGTTTAATTTAATTGAACCTTGCAGATTCGCAACTTTGATGAAGATTTATTGGATCCAATGTACCAGAAAAGGTAAAAGAATTATGTCCCTTCAAATGCTTAACAAAGCTATAGTCTATGGTGAAATTTGTCAGTGGTTAAAACATTATTGCAGAAATATAGGAACTTTAACCTAAGGATCAGCTAGAAGGGGCAGGGGGAGTAAAGGCAAAAAATGAATCAAGGAGTAAAGGCAAAAAATGAATCAATCAAACTGAAACACAATACACCAAGGTTAGAACTTTATATCTTGTTTCAGAAAATGGAATGGGATAGAAGTAAAATTCTGTGATTAGTTCTTATTTCACCTGTGCGCTATGTGAACGATGAAGGAATAGACTGCAGGGTGAAAAAGAATTCAAAAAAATGCTAGTTCAACTTAAAGCATTTCAGAAAATCCTTGATCCTTCCTGACTGCAGGAAGAAAAATATTGCGTAAGGAAAAATCCGGTCAGCTTCCCATGAAAATGATGAGGAAAGATAACAACTAAATTAACAATAACATCATCTATAATGGAATAAATCTGCATCATCCATTTTATTTACCTAAATTAATTTCTTGGAAACATTCCCAGGACTCAAAAGGCTGCTGTTGAGTTCTTCTGGATAGGTGCACAAGAAGTACGCATTTCATCAAATGAGGAGTCAAATTTTACAATTCCTGGTTTTCCCGTAAATGAATTGGTTTCTTGGGAAGCCAATATATTGTGGTCTCTGAAACAGTATGAATATCAGACCAAGCCCATGGTTGTCTGGGATATTATAGCAGCCTTATTGGCTTTCAAGCGGTTTGCAGCGGAGTACGTAGAACATATACTGGTCAAGTGGCTTTCACTTTCATATGTTGGATCTCATATGGACCTTTCTGCGAAAAAGGTTTTATCTCATGTTTTGAGGATTCTCTCAAAAATTTCCTCTCGCCACCTACACCTCCTGAATATTATCTGTAGACGGGTAGTCCTATCAGAGATGAAAGCTGATCAAATCAACAGCAAGTTGCAGAACTTGGAAGAAATAGATCGCTCAGAAGAGAAACTGATTATGTGGATTGAGCTACTCTTGAGCAGTGAAAGAGAACTCCGCACGAGGCTTGTGGGTTTGAGTTTTTCTGCTGGCACTAATCTCATGTCCTGTTCAACAACAGTTTCCCCTCGATCTGGAAATTGGTTTCCAGTTGGATTAGCACAAATGAAGCAATGGGTCGCACTTCCTCATGATTATATACCCGGTCAGTTACGAGTCCTAGCATCTGAGGTTTGGAAGCATGAGAAGAGGTAACTTCATTGCTACTCTGTCAAAAGAAATTTTCTTTAACTTATTTTTAAATAGATCCAGACTTTGTTAGGCCCATTTCCATTACAATTATGTTGCTCTGATACAGCATTCAACTTTCAGAATATTCAAAATTCACGAGGCTTTGACATGGCAATCCTCGTATACATTCTCCTTAATTCATAATGATTCGTACTTCTCTCTTTTCCTTGAATGAACAGGCTATCAAGCGAATGTGCAGCGACAGAGCAGTGTTGCTATTGTTCAGCACCAGTTCCGTTTGAATCTCCAGAAGTAGCCTTTTGCCAAGGTGTTGATCAGCGCCACAAACTAGCTCGATGCGCTGTTTCTATGGAGATCTGCCCTACTACTCCCATATGGTTTTGCTCGTGTTGTCACAGACAGGTTTACAGACTAGCACCCGAGACTCTTTTCACATTGCTTGGATATCCTTCAGACTTCAAGTCTTCAGCCGAATCATCTGACTCGAATGTATCTTCGAAGCCCCTGTGTCCGTTTTGTGGGATACTGCTGCAAAGACTGCAGCCCGATTTTCTGCTCTCTGCATCTCCTGTGTAAGCTAAATGCCTTCCCTATCTTTCTTTCAAGTGATTCTCAAACTGGTCCAAAGCCTGTAACCTTGGAAAAGGAATGAGCATGAATGACATTAGTTGATGCCGGACTACCAACCGTGCTCAGATATCTTCCATCCCCTGGCGCAAGAAAAGGGATAAGAAAGATATCATCCTATATTTGGGGGTTAAATAATGGATTCATCAATAGCTTGATGGCAGATGAGCAAAAATAGAAACAAGAGTGTCTGGTCCCCAAAAAAAAAAAAATAATAATAATAATAATAAAAAGATAGGTCGATATGTTGTTTATTTCTTAAGGCGCCTTTGGTGTGAGAGAC